GGTCTCCCCAGTTCTCAGTCCCCCTCACCGTGTTTTCTCAGAGGGCCAGCAAGGAGTGATGGCATCCATTAAACTGAGATTCATTTAATTTGGTTTGATTTGGTCTGATTTGGATTATTCCATTGGTAGAGAAGCTTACCAGGCCAAAGGAAAAAAAAAACTTAACAAATGCAAGAATCTATTTAATACAAGTTTGCAAACTTGGTATCTCCATGTGTCCTGTACTGGAATAATCAAAGAAACTTGAACTCAGTTAGAGTTGGGTTTTTATAGTAGTAAAGTTGGGGGTGAGGGATTTCTATGGTTCAAGAGCCCAGATTGGCTGAAATTTGTCTAGGGCTGTCCTGGTGAATGTTTGCTGGAGGGTGATCTTATGTACAACAGTTGGAATGTTAAGCATTTCCTTTGGATGGTCTGTTCTTGGATGATGCTCAGGTAATCTCAGGTTGTGATCCTTCCAAAAACCAGGTATTTTTCAGAGTAAACTACTGAAACTCAGGCCTCTCGTAAATTTATCATGGCTGAATCCTGCACTAGCAGGTAATAATGGTTGGAAGTAAAGAACATCCTTTTTGGAGGTCAGTTTCTATTCAGCTTATCATGGCTGGCTTGTACAGTCAGAAGCTGATGACTGGACATGCCTGCCAGCCAAGTGAAGCCCAGCTAAAATGGATATAGACGAGAGACAAACATTAAAATTTAGGAATTTAAAGGAAAAATTACAATGGAAACTCTCAGAGAAGGGACAAAGTCTCAAGAGAGGAAAAGGAGAGAAACATCCTTAGGAATAGGCAGGTAGGGAACTTTAGGTTGTACTTTCTGGAGTCTTTTTGATCTGTGAGAAGTGGATTTAAGTCTCAAGACTTTTTCTATAAAGTTTATATAATTTTTTAACATTGTGAAAATATATGTTTTAGTCTTATTAATATCCCCCCTGTTTATAATCTGTACTGATATTTACATTGCAGAAATGGCAGAATATACTCTTGCCAGAAATGAATCTGGTTAAAAATTTTAAATTTTTTTCTTTGTCCAGAAAACTGTGATAGATGTTTTCTGCACAATGAAATGCATCTTTGAGGTCTATAGTTAGGAAACTGCCAAAGGGAATTTGAAATCTTGAGCTTGTGGCTATGATGATAGTGGTGGTACTCTGCCAGAGCTCAGTAAATAGCTTATCAGAATTCTGCCAATTAACGTTAAGACTAAGAAATTTTGGAGTCTTAATTATAACAGCAGCATAATGAGAGAAATCTTAAACATATTTTATTTTTTAAACATCTCAAATCACTTTTTTTAAATTTATTTATTTATTTTTTCATTGAGAAAAGAAAGAAAAAAAAAACAAGTTTCCACCTCCTCCCAGCCTCCCATTTCCCTCCCCCTCCTCCCACCCTTCTCCCCCTCCTCCTACCCTTTCTCCCCCTCCTCCCACTCCTCTCCCCTTCCCTCTCCAGTCCAAAGAGCAGTCAGGGTTCTCTGCCCTGTGGTAACTCCTAGGTCCTCCCCCCTCTGTCCATATCTAGGAAGGTGAACATCCAAACTGGCTAGGCTCCCACAAAGCCAGCACATTACGTAGGATCAAAACCCCGTGCCATTGTCCTTGGCTTCTCATCAGCCCTCCTGAGTGAGGTAACCCAGACCCAAAAAGATGAATATGGGATGTACTCACTCATAATTGGTTTCTAGCCATAAACAAGGGTCACGGAGTCTACTATTGGTGATCCCAAAGAAGCTAAGTAAGAAGGTGAACCAAAGGAAAAACATATAGTTGTCCTCTTGGCTATGGGAAGTAGAAAAAATTGCCAGGGAGAAAATTGGGATCTTGGGGGTGGGGTGGGATGGGGGTAAGGGGAGATGGGGAGAGAAAAGGGAGAAGGGAAGGATGGGGGAACTTGGGGAAAAAGGAGGATTGGGATAAAGGAAGTTTGGATAGGGGAGCACGGAAGCACAATTCTTAGTTAAGGGAGCCACTTTAGGGTTGGCAAGAGACTTGAACCTAGAGTGGCTCCCAGGAGCCCAAGCCGAGGTCCCCAGTTAGTTCCTTGGGCAGCTGAGGATAGGGAACCTGAAATGACCCTAGCCTAGAGCAATACTGACAAATATCTTGCATATCATCATAGAACCTTCATCTGGTGATGGATGGAGATAGAGACAGAGACACACACTGGAGCACCTGACTGAGCTCCCAAGGTCCCAATGAGGAGCAGAAGGAGGGAGAACATGAGCAAAGAAGTCGGGACCACGAGGGGTGCACCCACCCACTGAGACAGTGGAGCTGATCTACTGGGAGCTCACCAAGGCCAGCTGGACTGTGACTGAAAAAGCATGGGTTAAAACTGGACTCTCAAATCACTTTTTTAAAAATCAACATTTAAGCTTTTTATCCTCAGACCTTCATAACTTGCATTTACACATCTCAAGTCACCTTCTTGTTCCTGGAAGCATTCTTATTTACATACCTTAAGTCACTTTCTTTGTGCACTTTCTTAGACCCTCAAATTCTATTAGATCCTTGGCAGACCCAGATGAATCTCTGTGAGTCTGAGTAGAGTCTGGTCTATAAGAGCTAGTTCTATGGCAGGCTCAAAACCTACAGAGAAACCCTGTTGTGAAAAACAATAAACAAACAACAAAAACAACAAAACTAACCTACATCTTAAATTTTGGATCATAAAACATTTTTCATTTATTTTAGCAGTAAGTACAGGTGGCTGACTACTGAAAGCAATCACTGTCACTGTAAATTTTCTTTAAACGAAGGAGTGGTAAGATGTTATACTGAAATCTGTTTTGTGAATTTCTCTCTCTCTCTCTCTCTCTCTCTCTCTCTCTCTTTCTTTCTCTTTCTCTCTCCGACTCTGTTAATAAGCTGAACTGTGTCTAGACTTTTTATTGGCTCTAAGAGAGTGAGACCTGTGACATAAATCTTACAGGGAGCTGAGAAGACAGCTGAAGCCTTTTTTGCTGCTTTTAAACTGACAAAGCTATTCGTCATTTCTTAGTTCTGAGAGGAATAAATTTTATCTAAGTTATTGATTTAAAAATTGACAGAGACTTACTTGCTGGCTGCCTAGACAACTACTCCAGGGTCCTTCATGGTCAATGACGGCAGATGGTAGGATAACTTCTGGCTTCTGGCTGGCAGAGGTCCCAGAAGATCCCATAGGCTTCTTTGGAGTAAGGACCAGTGGGAGGACAAGCCTACCATTTGCCTTAGGCAACTCAGGGCAGTCAGTTTCCCTGTGTCCTGTTTTCTCCACCATCTGAAGAGAGTCTTTGCAGTAGATGAAGTGAAAGACAGGTTTTCTCAGTGGCTAGGGATGCCACTTTTGTGCAAGTTTTGAGTAGATCTTCTTCTGTGCCCATCTGTCTTCTCTGGAGAAAACAGAGGAGCTGTCTGGAGCTGGCATACCTCTATTATAAAAGCTTTTTAGTAAAATAGAACTCAAGTCTTAAAAAAAAAAGAGAGAATAAGGCAGTTTGCTATGGCTTAATATGTCAGAGCAGAGCACATCATTCAAATGTTTCCTATGCACACATATTAGAGTCATCTTGCAAGAAGCTTTATTTTATTTAAGTCTGTGTATGGACTGTGTTTATATATGTGTGTATGTGTGTTTGTATGTTTGTGTGTATGCATATAAACATATACATGGCCACATGAAGACCTGAAGTAAACATCATGCTTATGATGCAAGGATGCCATCTCCTAACCATAAATACACAACACTTTAGGTCAAAGGGGTTATGAGAATCTTGATTGTTATCCATGCACTATGAACTCATAGATATGAAGTTTCAGTGACAAAGTAATTCTCAAATATTAAACTTTTCGATGAAGAAAGGACGTTCTATAACAGCCTAGAAAAAAAGGAAAGAAATTTGTAATTGTTGTAAATATAGACATATATTTGTAGGTAACAAAGTAGAACATGCACAAAATTGCTAAAAATTACAAAACCATTGCTCCTTTTTTATTGATTTTTAGTATTTTCCACATTGTTTGCAAACTTAACATAAACAATTTCTTGCAGTTTAATTATGCTTATCGATATTTTTTTCAATTCAAAATGAGAACTAAAAATGTGTTTTCTTTTCATTTTGCCTATTTATGCATTTTTCTATTAAAATATTTGTAATTAATTTGGGAGACACAAGACAATATTCCTCAACAAATGCAATGAACATTGAAAACATTACATGATTGTAAGCTCTGTAATGACAATGCCATGTTTCATGATTATTATCTTAAATCTCCTAAGCCTATCACCTAATCAGATGAAATTAAAGTTATTCTTGATCTTGTACAATAAAAGAAATAGTGTCTAAAATTTTATATTTACTCTTAATTGTCTGTGTGTGTCTCTGCATTTCTCTCTCTCTCTGTGTGTGTGTGTGTGTGTGTGTGTGTGTGTGTAGCTGAGGGCACTTGAAATTAGGAGATCATAAAAGGGCATTGGAATTACAACAGGGTGGATTGTAAGCTTTTTTACCATAGCAACACATGTTCCTAAAGACTGAGCCTCCTGTCCGAAAGGAAATAAGTCTTAAACTATTAGCATCCTAATAATCAAAACTAAAACATGGTGAATCTAGAGTTCAAAACACACAATTTTTGACCCAAAACAGGAGTACTTAGCCATTCTGTGAATTCCTTCTTGAGATTAAAAATCAAATGCTTTATTTTCATTACACAAAAGTTATAGCTTCATAATTATTTAAAAATGAGAGGATATACAAAATATCACATAATATAATTTTCTAATCAGTTGTCTTTAAAACACACATATTTATACCACAGATTCACCGTATATTTCACTTTACTATAATGTAGATTTCAAAAACAATTCCTTAATAATATTTAGCATAAAGTTGTATTACATAAGAAAAACACCACAAAAATTTAAATAAAACATTAAATAAGTTTTCCACAAAGACCAAGGAAAGATATAACAGGAAAAATAGAAAGAGAAGAGTCTAAATATAAGTACCAACTGCTATCTTATCTCCATGGGGTCCTCCTTCTTCTTGATAACTCTCCTGACAGCACTTTTTACTTCTTTGTTTCTGAGACTATAGATGAGTGGATTCAGCATGGGGATCACAATGGTGTAGAAAACAGAAGCCACTTGATCTTTTCCCAAGGAGTAAGACTTCTTTGGTTTTAAATAAGTAAAGATGGTAGTGCTATAAAATATGGTGACTGCCAGAAGATGAGAGGCACAAGTGGAGAAGGCTTTTCGCTTTCCTGCAGTGGAACTGATTTTCAATATGGCAGAGAGAATGGATGTATAAGACATTGATATGGTGAGAAGAGACACCAATAGAGTTGAACTAGAGACAATGATTATTATCATTTCAATGGCATGGGTGTCAGTGCAGGACAGGGCGAGTATTGCAGGTGTGTCACAGAAAAAGTGATTGACGACATGAGAGCCGCAGAAACACAACCTGCTTAGACAGAGCATGTTGACAGATGAATCAAAAACTCCTATCATGTAGGAACAAGTAAGGAGGGCACGGCAGCGTCTTTTAGACATAATAACTGGGTAGTGTAGAGGGCTGCATATAGCTACATAGCGGTCATAGGACATGGAAGAAAGAAGAAAACACTCAGCACCAGCAAACAAGACGAAAAAGTACAACTGAGTAAAACAACCCATGAAGGAAATTTTCTTTACGGAAGTCAGTAAGTTCTCTAAGGTTTTAGGTGTGATGACAGTTGAGTAGCTGAGATCAAGAAATGATAGATGGGTGAGGAAGAAATACATTGGAGTATGAAGCTGGGCATCTAGATGAATGGTACATATCATGCCTGTGTTCCCCAGGACAGTGACCAAGTATATAAGGAGAAACAGGGGAAAGAGTACCAGTTGAATTTCCTTGGAACTCGTCAATCCTGTGAGGATGAAGTCAGGCTCATTTGTGTGATTCCAGGTGTTCATGGTGGATGATCCTAAACTGATGAGAAATCAAAAGTGATTTTAGTAATAGCTGTGTTTGGGTTAATATCCTCTTAATTAAGAATCTGTGCTTGGAAGAACAAAGCAGCCCAAGGAAGAAGGTGAACTTGATCTAAAACAGGTGGCCTCTGATATTTTCACCATTGGTGGGGGCCTGAAATCACAGTCTTTCAAGATTACTTAGGTTTAAAGAATTCTTGCCAAGAAAAATGAAGGAAAACAAGGAGAGTTTGTCTACTTTAAAGTACCTAGGATATAACAGGACCTTTATGTACACACAAGTTGTAAAGTGTGTGTGTTGAAGGAGGGGTAGAATATTAGCACTATACTTTTACAGGGTGAAGAAGATAAAAGATATTATTCCTTATCACAAACACAAATTTTTCAGTGTATGATAGAAAACACCAACATTTAATATTTATTTTGAGTTTGAAATGATAGACGATGGCTTTTCACTTCATCATCTCTGTTCTACTTCCTGTTACTTAAAACTGGACCAAGCAATATCACTCCTGGGAATATACCCAAGAGATGCCCTATCATATGACAAGAGCATTTGTTCAACTATGTTCATAGCAGTATTATTTGTAATAGCCAGAACCTGGAAACAACCTAGATGCCCTTCAATGGAAGAATGGATGAAGAAAGTGTGGAATATCTACACATTAGAGTACTACGCTGTGGTAAAAAACAATGACTTCTCAAATTTTGCATGCAAATGGATGGAAATAGAAAACACTATTCTGAGTGAGGTAACACAGACCCAAAAAGATGAATATGGGATGTACTCACTCATAATTGGTTTCTAGCCATAAACAAGGGTCACGGAGTCTACAATTGGTGATCCCAAAGAAGCTAAGTAAGAAGGTGAACCAAAGGAAAAACATATAGTTGTCCTCTTGGCTATGGGAAGTAGACAAAATTGCCGGGGAGAAAATTGAGATCTTGGGGGTGGGGTGGGATGGGGGTAAGGGGAGATGGGGAGAGAAAAGGGAGAAGGGGAGAATGGGGAGAACTTGGGGAAAAAGGAGGATTGGGATAAAGGAAGGTTGGATAGGGGAGCACGGAAGCACAATCCTTAGTTAAGGGAGCCACCTTAGGGTTGGCAAGAGACTTGACCCTAGAGGGGCTCCCAGGTGTCCAAGCTGAGGTCCCCAGTTAGTTCCTTGGGCAGCTGAGGATAGGGAACCTGAAATGACCCTAGCCTATAGCAATACTGACAAATATCTTGCATATCATCATAGAACCTTCATCTGGTGATGGATGGAGATAGAGACAGAAACCCACACTGGAGCACTGGACTGAGCTCCCAAGGTCCCAATGAGGAGCAGAAGGAGGGAGAACATGAGCAAAGAAGTCGGGACCACGAGGGGTGCACCCACCCACTGAGACAGTGGAGCTGATCTATTGGGAGCTCACCAAGGCCAGCTGGACTGTGACTGAAAAAGCATGGGATAAAACTGGACTCTCTGAGCATGGCAAACAATGAGGGCTGATGAGACACCAAGGACAATGGCACGGGGTTTTGAACCTACATAATGTGCTGGCTTTGTGGGAGCCTAGCCAGTTTGGATGTTCACCTTCTTAGAAATGGACGGAGAGGGGAGGACCTAGGACTTACCACAGGGCAGGGAACCCTGACTGTTCTTTGGACTGGAGAGGGAGGTTGAGAGGAGTGGGGGGAGGGGGAGAAGAGTGGGGGGAAGGGGAGAAGGGTGGGAGGAGGGGGAGAAGGGTGGGAGGAGGGGGAGGGAAATGGGAGGCTGGTGGGAGGTTCAAACTTGTTTTTTTTTCTCCTTTTCTCAATAAAAAAATGGAAAAAAATTGAACTTAAAGTTGAAATACAATTGAAATGGTACAACATATAACTGTTCACCTAGTGAATTTATACATCTTTTCTCTTTTCTATGCTCTTTCTTTTCAATTACCTCATAACTATGAGGGGAAACAGTTTTCACATTATAAAGTCGAAAATTGTGAGCTCAGAAGTAAATCAATCACAAAAGATTATTTCATTCTCTAGACATTTAATATAGGACATATTTGTTTGTCAATGTGGTATATTAATTAAAGTTTCCATTGTTACTTTATGCTTATAAGTGTTTTGCGTGGATATAGTTTTATTTTATGCACCGTGTTAGTGCAGTTTGTGGGGAAGGGAGAGAAGTATGTCAGATCCTCTGAAACCGTAGTTACTGTTAGTTATGATCTGCTACGTGGATACTCTGAATTAAACTCAAGTTCGCGAGAAGAAGAACAACCAGTGTTCTTAACAACCAATCTATCACTTTATCTCTTTAATTAAAATCTTCATAAATACTTTTATGAAGCTAAAGCTAATAGTTTGAATTAAGCATTTTGAAGTATAAATATGATATATCCCAAAATTAGAAGAAATTTTTTGTTCACAGTGCTATCCTTGCTGATCAGTTTTAATATTCATGTATATGTGACACCACAAATATTATAGTTACCTACATGTTTCATTTTTTAAAAAAAATGGAGCTTAGAAAAGTTGCTTCAAGGAAGAACAATTAAAGCACTGTGATTCTTCCCAGATTCTTAACCAAGTACTTTATATCATTTTAAAGAAACCATAATCAGACTTGATAACTAATCAATAATAGTGGGTAACATTTATAGCATATAATTTAGCTCCTTTTTATTCACAAAACCATTGAACACATTATATATAAACTTCAATTTTCATTTAATTATTGTGGTAAATTAGAATTACAGATATTATAATACTTGACCAATCTAAACCTAATAAACTATACTACAATACATTTACATTGAGTGCAAACCCTAACTTTGACAACACTACATTTCTATTTTGCAAATACCAACGCTGTTCATTATAAGATCCAAATAAAATTTTCTAGAAACATCTAAACTTGAGGATACTTACTGTGAGTGAAGGATTGTCAGGATATGTCTTCCTCAACTATAGTTGAGAAATGTTTCAACATTAAAATTTTCTAGTGTATAAATTATAAAAGCTTTTAAATGCCTTGTACTTTTCCATAACATAATGTTTGTTTTTCTTGGAGTGGTTATTTTTAGATTTTTGTCCATTTATTTTAATTAAAAATTTTCAATGAAAACAACCTACAGTGAAATTTTGTTTTATTCCAGGCAAATGAAATTTTTAATTAGAAACTGGTCTTTAAGATATGTCAAATACTTAAACTCAGAATAGCATAATGCATTGCCTCTCATCCTGTTGTGACAAAGCACCTCATATAACCAACACAGAAGATCATTCAACAGGAGACTGTCCTTAGGGAACAATTTCCAGGGGAATGTGCTTGGCATACTTTCCATGTCAAAAGTTCAAGGGCAAATGAGCAATGGTTTGTTCTCTCAGAATCTCTATTATGAACTTCACTCTCTCTTGGTCTTCTTTCCTCATACTTTCAATCATAAAGTTAACTGATATAATAGAGTTTTTACATTGCATAATAAATAAGGTTCTTTTTTAGGATGAGAAGAAATGTTCTAGAAATAATTATTTTAAACTTCATGTAAAATAAATATAATTCTTTATTGTGAGGATTTAAAAGCATATTTTTTCTCATAAGAGTAGACACATTAATCAGAAAAAACTAAAGTACAAAAGATTTCTCAAAAGTAAGAAATTCAAATTCATTCCTGATATTTTTCTAACATAATTTTAATTTGCCTCAATTATTTTCTCTTTGTGGGTACATAATACTAATGGAGCACACATTTATATATTTTCATAAATTTTTTGTTTGTTTTTCTTTCTTGAGACAGACTTTCTCTGTGTAATAGTCCTCCTGGCTGTCCTGGCATCTGCTTTGTTGACCATGCTGAGCTAGAACTCACAAAAATCTACCAGCGTCTGTATACCAAGTGCTGGGATAAAAGGCATATACCACCACCGCCTGGCTATTTACTTAATTTTATTATACTATAATCAATATTATAACCTCAATTTATATTTAAAATTACAAAAAAATTAGTAAATATTGTAAAGAGTTTTGAATAGTACAGAATAATTTTGTATACAAAGTATGTGATATATACATTTATTTATATAGTAGGAAGCAGCTTCAATAGTATTGATAGATTAATATTTATATAGTAATCACTATAGTTAGGAGTAAGCAACTCGGGGCAACTATTATAGTCTTATACCTTTACCATTTCAATATGTCCTAAATTGCATTTAAATTTTTGCAATTTGGTAAGTTTTTTAATAGAAATGTAATATATGAATAATGCAAACTCCAAGAATATCTATGGCTAACAGCAACATCACTAAGTTATTCTACATCTATCACACTGAGTGGAAAAGTGGTATTGTTTTGAAGTTTGACACAACATCTTTTAAATTGAGTGTCTTTTCTCACTGTTCAACAACTAGAAGAAATCTAACATCCTAGTGGTGTGGCACACAGTGTAAATATTGTCATCTTCATCATCTAGTATGGGAAAGAGCAAGAGATGTGGAGTAGTAAAGCAAAAGAAGTGATTGTAATAGAAATAAACAAACTTGTGAAAGTACTGCAGGGTATAAAGGTAAAAAAAATGGAATACAAATGGCTGGAAAGTGCCTAAAGAAGCTAAATATCTTAAAAGACCATATATGGATATTTAAATATAATTTTGATAGTTAAAACATGTTACTCTCATGAATAGAAATAAAACAACAATGTCTTTCACTCCTGGGTACAGACAGATGGTATAATGTCAATCACAAGAAGCAGAATAATAGACATAGACATTTATTAATACAAATTAATATTTGAAATTATTTGCACATGCAACAATACACATGAATACCAACATCTTTTTTATAAAAATGAAAATAAATTCTCTTTATGAGATACTCATTTGAAATATAATATTGCAATAACTACAAAAGAAATGTCTATAATTCACATGATAATCATAGCATATAATTATTTGTTCACACAATCCCTCATTATATTCCTTCACAGAGGAAGAACAAA